GAAGACGCCAAGCTCCCAGCGGAAGCGAGCCAACCCTCCACTTAACACACGTTGACTTCAAAATTGCAAAACCTAAACCCTAAATATAAGCCACATGATTCATTCGATTCTATTCACCATTATCCTGTAAACTAGTACTGGAAACGGAGACGACCCAGGGGGCATATGAATTATTGTTGGTGGTATAGATCGTGACTCAGTTGAGTGAGTCCCTAAACCCTTACCTCCATTTCGCTTACTAAAAAATAAATGAAGGGCTTCGTGTTGCCGTTGTTGGCCTTCCCCTCGTTCTCGCGCTGTGGTTTGGACGACCCCTTGGTTTCCCACAACGACTTGTTAGCTGCTGTCGAGGCTTAAACGTGCTTGCAAGAATTGTCAATCTACACTACTACACGAAGTAAACAACAAACAACAATCATGAAGGAACTAGCCGGATACTTGCTCTTGAAATTGGGAGGAAAAGACAGTCCCTCCAAGGATGAAATCACCGCCGCCTTGTCCTCGGTGGGAGTCACCGCCGATGGCGACCTGCTCGACAAACTCTTGGGTGAATTGGAAGGAAAGGATCTAGGGGAATTGTTGGAAGCTGGAAAGGAACAGTTGGCACAGTTTGGTGGAGGTGGCGGCGGCGGCGGAGGAGGCGGCGGCGGCGGAGGTGGCGGTGGTGAAGCCGCAGAAGAAGAAAAGGAAGAAGTTGAAGAGGAAGAAGCCGACATGGGTGGTGGTATGGACATGTTCGGAGGAGGTGATGAGGGCGGCGGTGATTATTAAACAACAATCACTTGATCTATCTACCTACCACGTACTCTTACTATTCGACAATACAATACTCGCTAAAGTTGGCTCTACTTGGTGCATCCAGCAGATTTATTTGTTGGCTGTCTACTAGCTAGCTAGGTAGAAAGAGACTATAGTAACCAACAGCGTTATCGGCAGGAAAACACTTAGGTATATATTCTTACTAACTAGCTCTAGAGGTAGTTACGTATCCACCAACAGCGTGCATACTTGTATGGCTGTTGCTTTCTCGGAGGTTGTCGGTTTGATGTGATGGTCTGAGGTTTGATCAATGCAGCAGGCCGAGACGGAATGGAGGTAGCAATGGCCGTCCTAAACGGTACCGCCATTGCAGTGAGCGATGGCTCCTACGGAAACAACTATGGGACAGTGGCGTTGGTTCTTGAAGGAGACAATGAAGTAGGAAGAATCGATGGACAACTCTGTGTCCCAGGTTCCCCAGCAGACCACTCGTCACAACAAAGTGAACTTGCTGGGCAAGTAGCTGCCATGATGATGGTACAAACATTGGCAGAACAAGTGGACATTTCTAGAGGGAAAATCATCATCCGGTGTGATGGAAAGGCAGCCATAAAAGCTCTCAAGTCAACGTTTGAACCCACCTGCAAACTCAGGGACTACGACTGTATAGAAGCCAGAGCAGATCTGAAACAACAGCTTCTAAAACAGCTTCTGAAACAAGTCCTGCAGGTTAAGTTCCGATGGGTGAAGGGGCATCAAGACAAGGACAAACGCCCTCCCAGGATACTCCCCCGATCTATGATTTTCAGCAACTGCCTCTGTCAGCAGGTCAAAAACAAAATATGCGGTATCTCATCAGCATCAAAGTGTCAGCGAACATCTTCCTGCACCCCCGGACCAAGATCTGCTCCCTCATTCATCCTTCCCAAGAGCCACCTCCAGGCTGCCAGGCACAGGCTCACCAACAAGTCCAACGTTTGCCCTTGTACAACACACACCTTGCGGTACATGCCGTATTTCCGACTTGCAACATTGGCCAGGAAACAGGGAATGCGATCGTAGCAAGATGTCGCATCGTTATCGAAGTGCAACAAATTACACCGAGTCAGGCGCGTGAGTTCATACTCTAATTCACGGATGAAAACTGCATCGAGTGCCCCTTTCCCTGGTTGGGAACTAAATTGATGCTCATTCACGTATCCGTTGTTGCAGGCATGGTGAAGAACTGCTCGCCATTTAACACTCAGGAGCAAATTGTAATCGGCTTCCATTAAATGGATGACTCTCAGCCGATGGATCTTGGGGCAGCTGGGGTTCTTCTCGAGCATGGCATTGACGATGGTTTTCCAAGATCGAAGCTGTAACCAAATTGGAGACAATAATTGAGAAGAGCAAGGTGACCATTGAGGATGGAGTCCCTCTTATCCTTCCGTGCATCAGCCTCAGGTGAGTCGTCTTCGAATGAATGTTTTGCCATGTATGCCTTGAGGTTCCCCAGGTGCATGTTGCTGCCTGGGGATGTGCTCGTCTTCTCATTCCAGACTTTGCTTTGCCCAAATATTCTTCCTTGCTGATTGTGGGGGAAATGAAGTCCTTGTCCGACACATACTGCAGAGCTTCCAGGAATATCTTGGTAAGTTCGTCAAGATTATCGGTGGGAAAGGTGCCATTCAGAATTTGATCAGCTCTCTGACATGTCCCGGTGAAATCCATGCTGAAATCTGTTGGTGGACTTGTCAGATTGCAATTTTTTGATTGCCCAAAATGTTGAAAAGCAGCGGTTCACTCCAGTGATTAATATTCCAACCCATCCAAACAGAGCTTCTACTGTACAATAATGCAGGCATCTATCTACGGTAACAATACCAGCGGCAAAGTAAAGTATCGCGGGGCTTGGCAAAGCCCGAGCTTCCATCACTGCTACCAGGGGTAATGCATCACTAAAAACAAGCAATGACAGATGACCTCTCGTTACTAGTAGTTTTGATGTCCACCTGTACCTTATATACGTTGTTTGGTTTGAGTTTGGCGTATCTTTTTGGTACTAATGTGGCCACCTAGCCAGCTATTGCACAGTTGCATGTCGACGTTCGCTTATTTCTTCGCCTTGGAAGACTGGATTCCAAGCTCTGAAAGCATCTTGGATCCGTTCATCCATTTTGATTGATTGATTGATTGATTGGAGAGGTATATTGTTGTTGTTTATCCGATATTTAATCCATCATCCAGGAAACTTGGAAATGTAGTTTTTTCGAAAGCAGTATTCCATACCAGATGCCGCCGCTGCAAACAATATTCCACTTTGAATCCCATTGACCAGAAGCTGACCAAGAACATTCCAATCCAGGTACCCCAAAGGAGGTCCACAATCGACGGGCACTGCCGAACAATACGAAGGAAGCTCGATCCGTGTCAATGTCCTCGTCAATACAAAGGCACCGACTACACCATCTTTGAGTTGAGGATTGGTATCTTCTCGGATGCAATAGCGGTATACAATGGCAAACAGTGCCGCCTCGAGTGCTCCCGCATCGGTATCGAATTCCCATTGTGCCAGAGATTTTTGCGCCACGGCACAATCGCGTATCAGCGATACCGGAGCCAGAGCAATGCCACCGGAAAAGGCGCCCACCACCAAGCACTTGAAAGATTCAATCCGAGCTCCAAAGCCAAACTTGGCGTCATCCTCGGCTGTTTCGGCAGAAGCCACGGCTTTTGCTACTAGCTCCTCTCGTGCCCGATAGGCATCGTCGTACATGGCTTCAACTTGATCATCGGACAGTTCTGGTTCCGTAGATTTGACGCGAAACCAGTTCAATTGGGTACTAGTTGTTGTTCTGGAACGGATGGTGGAAGGGGCAAACGCTCGAGAGTGCCCCAACAACAGAACAAGGCCCCAAATCACAGAGCGCGATATCACCATGGTTGGCTGTCTGCCAGTAATACAACTGTAGCAGGCGAGTAATGGATCCTCATCCTTTCATTTTTGTTTGGCGATCGGCATTTCGAGCACGTACGAACAGCAAAGATCCGATTTGGATCCTGTTCGTGACTGATTCAATGATCGTCCACGACTTGACGTGGGTTCGCTTCCAAGATCCCGCCAAAGCAAAGCTCTTCGCGACATTCTTAAATTCACTGCAAGCACAGCACTCTACGCAACCGGTACCGGTAGCACTGGCACTTGATACAGTGTTCTCTCCTGCATTGCCCCTGAAAATGGCGTTGCACTTTGGGGTATTCTGTCTTTCCATTACAGTGATCTACAACAGACGACCATGGATCCCGATGGCTCTAACATTGGCCATGACGCAGCTGTCATTCCAGTGGCTTCTGCTACCCCCATTCTTTTATCTGGAGTGACTGCAGCTGATGCTCCAGTTGTCTCGGCTGTACTGCTTTCAGATTCCTCGGATGTGCAACGAAACAAGAGAGGAAGAGATGCCCCCAGTAGGAGAAGGAGGAATACGTTCAGCAGTAACCATCATGAAGAAGAACAAGAAGAAAAGCGAGAAGTGACCCAACATCCTCCACAACAACAACAGAGACGGACCAGCAGAAATGACAAGTTCGTCACAGCCAGAAGAGAACAAGACGAAAGATTTGCTGCTACAAGAGCAGTCACGTCCACAACGGCTGCCAAACATGGACTCAGACGATCAAGACAATATCCTGCAGTTGGAAACAGCAACAACGGTGTATTGGATTCTTCAGTCGTCTACTCTCCAATAACCGAACGTGTTTTGACTCCTGTATCGATTCAGCCCAAGACGGATGCTGTCAATGATGCACAAGAAATTTGCTCAACTACCGAACCTGACATTGAAGTACAGGAAATCACCGAGACTGCAGAACCACCACCTCCAGTCAGTTCCTTTACTCGGACCGCAATTCCATCTACTGGTAGAGGCACAAGCAATGCCGTCAACGAAAGTAACAATCTTCAAAACACCAACCAGACAAGTGATGATGAGTATGTCAGTTGTGCTTGTAAAATATCAAAAAAGATTTGCTGGGCTCTTCTCATAGCTGCTGTCATTGCAGTGACCATTGCAGTGGTTGTTACTATCGTTGGCACTGGGGGTGATGAAGTTGATCCTGTCATTGGAGATTCCATGGCAACAGAGACAACCAGACAACCTACTACGAAGATCCCCACAGTAGCTCCTTCAACAAATTGGTCATCTCTTGCCCCATCCAAAACAACAATACTGGACCCTACCTTCATCGCACCAACCACTGCAAATCCAACAGCTGGTCAATGGTCTCACAGTCCCAGTCCACCAACAACAACTCTTGCCCCATCCAAAGCAGCAATACTGGACTCCAACAGCATCGCACCAACCACTGCAAATCCAACAGTTGGGCAATGGTCTCACAGTCCCAGTTCACCACCAACAATAAGTCAAACTGCCATGATACAAGAAACAGTGAACTTGTTTGGTGTTACCTACAGTGTTGCCACTACTTCTGGAATTGATCGACAAAATGCAGGTCTCACTGGAACTGTTCCCACAGAGATTGGCTTGTTGACTGCACTAGCTTATTTAAACTTGGAACACAACAGCTTGTCTGGAAGCATTCCAAGTGAGATTGGATTATTGACAAGATTGACTTATTTGGACTTTGGTCCCAATGACCTGAATGGATCCATTCCTTGCGAACTTGGATTGATATCCACATTGATTTTTTTGGAGTTGGAAGAGAACGGCTTGGAAGGTGACATTCCATCGGAGCTTGGATTGTTGACTAGGTTGACTGCATTATGGTTGCATCAGAACAGTCTGGGTGGAAGCATTTTTAGTGAGATTGGATTCTTGACTTCATTGACTAGGATGAGCCTGCGTGCCAACAGGGTGGATGGTAGCATTCCAAAGGAGTTTGGATTCTTGACTGGATTGAGTCACCTGAATTTGCATCACAACAATCTGACCGGAAGGGTACCATCTGAGCTTGGATTGATGACCACGTTGACTGGGTTGTGGTTGAATACAAACAACCTGGTAGGTGATATCCCAACTGAGATTGGATTCCTGACCTCCCTTACTCGGTTGAGCTTGCGGGAAAACAGTTTGGGAGGTAGCATTCCAGCAGTCATTGGAAGGATGACCTCATTGTCTATGTTGGACTTGAATGTGAATAACTTGAGTGGCAGCATTCCATCTGAGCTTGGTTTGTTGACCAAGCTGACTATTTTGTACTTGCATGAAAACCAGTTGTTAGGCGCAGTGCCCAGCAATCTGTGTTCCAACCCCGGTCTACTTCAAATGTGGGTTGATTGTGATCCAGATCCCTTTCCCGTGGAATGTATATGCAGTGAATGCTCGTGTCTTTGAAGGCAAATTGATGCCACTACGAATCAAGTTGACAATGTTCAAGACATGGCTCGGCTAGGAAGCAGACAATGATCAAGCTTCAAGGGCTAGCTAACTAGAACAGTGGAAACTTTGGCAAATGAGCATCACGTTGGGCGGCCGCTCGTTTGATGCCCTGATATGCCAGCCAGCCTTGTGCATAATTGATGAGGAATACCACCGCTTTAGCACCAATCTTTTCATACCATTTGGCTGGCCTCTTCCCTCCTCTACCTTCCATGGCACTGCCATCCTCATCATCATCACTATCGCACACTATGCCAAGAAGCTCTTGTTGTGTTTCCGTTGCCTGCATCATATCCGATAGGAGTCCCTCCAATGCAGGAACATAATCAAAATCAGCATCGCGCAACGCTCCTCCAGGTTGACCTTGAGTGGGAATGGCCAATTGCGCTGCTTCTCGAAAGAGAGTGGTGATTGTGGATGCGGCTTCTGTCCACTGTGCCTGGTAGTCTTCCTCGTCCAGTTGTGGTTGTTCTGCCGTAGATTGTTCCAAGGCTAACTCGTATTCCTTGCCACACTGTTCTCGCAAGAACTGCAATTGTTGGTTGTACAGTTTCTGCAGAGGTGGAAGAATGTACAACCAAAGCCCACGTTGAGCTTTGGCTTGCATGACTTGCTCCGATGAGGGTAGCTGGTCCTTGATAGCAGTCTGAAAGGAGTCAATTATGTGGTCTGCCTGCATTGCGAATTGTAAAGAGTTAGTTGTGGAAGACGATCCTACTTCGTCAGAAAAGCCCAGCCATTGCTCTTCGAGGTGAGTTTCCAGCTCTTGTATCTGCTTCTTGGCAGAGGATAGAATTTGCATGAGGGTTGCCTCGTAGTCCTCTGCAGTCAAGTCAGGATTGCCGTCTGCTACTTCTGACGTTGTCTCCTCTTTGGATGGTACTGGCACCTCTTCCTTGTCCTGGTGTGCAGACTCTTCCGTGGCGGCTTCTGGTAATGTCACTGCCTCTTCTTCTTCTTCTGCTTTGTCATTGGATACCACTGATGTTGATTCAATCTTAACTATTGCAGGTTCCGTTGATGCATCCGAATCTTTCGCTGCTTCGGCAGTAGCATTCTTGGTTGTCGCAACAGCTTCCCCCTCCTCGGATGATTGAGGTGGCTCTTTGCTTGTCTCGTCGTCAATGCCGCCACCATTGGCTTGGTAGGTTGCTTGGAGTAACGCTGGAAAGTTCATGGCATCCATGAGATTGCTCGTGGTTCGTTCTGGAGTGGCCGTGGTGTCACTTAAAATCCCGTTCCACGTGGATGTCAGTCCATCTGTGCTTTCGGTGAGATCCTCCAGACTCAGTAGGTTCACATTATCCACCAGCTGGGGAGTGAGTGATATTAAATCTCGTAGGACCAACTGATTCTTGATTTCTGCCATGGTGGAGTCTTTCGGTGGGGTGGTTGTGGAGGAGGACGCGATCAATACGAGGACGGAGGAAACCATGCCATTCTCTGCTCGCTGTTGTATTCCTTTGGCTAATGCCTCGACAAAGGTATCCTCCAAGCATGTTTTGACGGATTGTTCTTGCCTATTATTGAGGACCAGCACAATCACCATGACGTCGCAGCACGTCGCAAGACTCTGGAGAGCCGGGGCATTTCCTTTCCAAACTATTGACAAGGAAGCAGGATCTTGTGGTGGTGATGATGGTGATGTTTCCAAAAGTTTCTTGCCAGTGTCTTGTAACAAACAAACGCTGGATTGTAAAAATGGAAGCAGCAGTCCATCCTCCATTTCAATCCCATCGTCCACGCCCACGACTTGTACCCCTACCGCTGTGTACTGAGAATGGCCAGCATCATCCCCTCCTCCTCCTCGTGGTATTCCCCAGAATCTCCGTGAGGCTACAGCTGGAAGCTTCTTCTGGATAAATGGTACAGCTTGGGTGGTAGCAAAGAGCAAGACGACTGGAAAGAGGAGACGCATGGATTGTTGGAGGTTCATCATCATTGCCTTGCCCATAGCATGGAAATTGCCTTGTGTCTCGTGTCGGCGGTGGATGCTTTTGATCGGAGATCCGAGATCCGAGATCGGATGATGCTGATGTGGGTATACTAGGGTTAAGGCTCTAACAAAGATCCAACTGATGGATCCAAACCTCCCACAAGCCACAGCCCACCTTGTGATCAAAACGCCATTTCCTTTTTGGGATATTGCTTGTTTGTTTGTTGAACTATTTTAAAAATAGCATGAACCCACAGCGCTCATGGTGACTAATACCGAAATAGCTCATGAGTTACCTCGAGTGTTGATGGCTACCACGTCTATTTTGGTGGACTGCCTGTTGAAAAGGACTTTTACTAGTAGAGGACAAAAACATAACAATGCTTCCAGAACAACGACGAGAGATCGCGTCATGGTGCAAGTCTTGCTCTGGCTGACGGCATCTCTACCCTCCCATACAAACAGCACACGCGTCGTCACAGAACAACAACAAGAAGACGAGGCAAATTTGTGTTTTGAAATCTTGTTGCATGCCATTTTTGCTCTCAATTTGCTGGGCATTGGGCTTGCTACCGGTCCAAAAGTGAATTCTACAAGAACCAGAAACGATTCTGCCATGCGAATGGAACTTCCCAATAATCATCAAGGCAACACTACTGCGAGGATGTGCTGCGTGTTGCGTCCTTCGGCAGCCTACCAGGGTGGCGGTTCTTGGAATCATGGGACACAACAAGCCACTGCAAGGACAAACTGCAATAGTTGTTACATCCAGTCCATGATGACATCCGTGTTGGAGAAACTGGCGCCATCCCTGTGGGTCGCCCTCAATTGGGTCTTTGTGGATGGAATGCAGTCTCGCCATCATCACGAGGGAATCCAGTTTTACCTCTCTATTGCGGGAATCACACTGGTCACTGCCACGTTGTTGTCGTGGTTTATTCCTCAATACTACCGAGGGATTGATGGACGACAGCAACACCATGTCATCCAACCATCAGCGACAATCCACAGACAAGAACAACAGCCATCCGATTGGGAAGAGTGGACGACATCCCAAGTAGCTGCATGGTTGTCGGAAACACTATTACTAGTAAACCAAATGGAAGATGCCAATTTCCTTCTGGCTCAATTGGCGTGGCATGGGATTGATGGAGCGGCATTGGAACGATTGAACACCGATGCACTCGTCAGGCACATGGATATCCCCTACGGCATGGCCTCGCGTGTGATGGAGCATATTGAAACACGCTTGACCAAACGATATCCACGTCGAAGCACAAGACGACAGCAACCACAACCAGCCTTCTCGAGTGGCGAACAATGGGTCCATCAGGCCCTCGGACAACACGAAACAACCAGGCGTGTCGACGTCGAAAAGCCATCCTACAGCATCATGGCAGATGAGGAAATGCAGCAAGTACGAGATACCATGATGCAACGCTTTGGATTTCAGCTACCCGAGTTGCCCCACAAAACGGACAAGGCTCAGCCTTTTGCGAGTGTTGGAAATAGTAGTCATGCAGAGCCCCCAACCACGGATACAGCTGACGAGCCAGACGCAGCAACCACTCTGGAGCAATCCTTGCTGGCATCAATGCCGCCTCATATCAAGGACATTATCCGTCAAAAGCCTCACTTGTTGGAACAGGTGCAAAAGGTGCAAGCCAACGAAAATCTGTCACAACAACCAACAACTACTACACAAGATGCAAAGCCTTCGGCTCAAGCCACAGCTCAAACCAAACGAAAACCAATAGCATCCAACGAACCGATGCAAACTACTGGCCCAACTCCAGACTCGGAAAGCATTCCTGACCAAGTACTCCAGCAACTTCCTCCACAGATTCGGGCAGTGGCGCTTCGAAACCCTACGCTATTCAACCAAATGTTCCAAGCAACACAGCAAAACGATCAACTCCGCTTTGGTGGCCAACAGCAAGCGAACAGGACGTTACCAACCACACTAGAAGAAGGAGAAGAAATGGAAATGGAACCACGAGACGTTTACGATCGGGACAATGAGCAGGCTCCGCTGCTGACTACTGGCACATCAAGGCCAGAGCCAGGCCTTTGGCAGTCGAATCGAGGCCTTGTACAAAGATCATCTGCGCCGCGAAACGAACGGTAGCCTAGCTAGAAACTCAATCAACAAAACCTTCCGTAAAGCGTGACAACCTGGACTAGAATTATGGTTTCGGAGAACTCACATGGTCCGCATTGTCGCCGGAAGGAGAAACAGACACTTGTGAATGTCCTGATGACCATTCGGGCATGCCATTTTCATACTTGCCAATATTTGCAGTGCTCTCTTGACCGACGGATGCAGTGTGGAACCTTCGAGTCCCACCATTTCGGCGGCGAGCTTGGAAGTGGCGCCCCCATTTGCTCCAAGGAAAACCAGGCAAGCTGCAACTGTTATCAGACTGTGAATCTCAGCAAAGACAGAATTGAATCGCGTCACCTCGTGCAACAGATCTCGCGAGTGGCGATCCTTGAGGCGAGACAAGATACTCTGGCACTGGTTGATGAGCTTGTTGGCCACGGTCGTGGCATTCGGTGGTAGCGCTTCCAAACTCATACTGTGAAGAATGCTGTGTATCGCTAGCTGGTTGGCCAAAAGGGGTTCTTCGTGATCGTTGACGCCTTCGTCTTCAAAGATCTTTCTTTCCGTTCCTGCGTTGATCAGCTGGTCCAGTTCAACCGAAGCTTCTGTGTGTTTGAGCTCGCGCAGGACAGTTTCAATCTTTGCGTCCAAACCTTGACAACGATTGTGGATCCCAGTAAGCAAACCAAGAACGTACTCCTCGGTTTGGGGCAAAAGTGTGTCTTTTGTTGAGGCGCGTTGATAGGTCTCCTCGAGGACACGTTGCGACACAAGTGGATGTCGGTTGCTTGGATCCAAGGCGAGGTCGAGAATGTCCTGTGCGGCGCTGGTGGCGGCCGATCTTACATCGGGGTCGGGATCCTGTAGCATGATCAGAACCTCCTGAAGCACTTGATGTTGAAGCTGCTTCATTTCCTCCCCGATCCCTTGGCATTGAAGCAGAGTACTATTCTGAACGGAAACTGCAGCGCTGTGCCTGACGCGCCATGACAAACGCGGATCGTTGAGCTCCCCAACAACTGTGACGAATGCTTTCATTCTGCTAAGGTAGTGGTTCAAACATGGATCCTCTGATGTCTGCTGAAGGCTCCATGCGATGCCGAAGGAGATGATCTCTGCACCGTTGCCTGAAAGCGGCGTTTCGCGACGGAAACCTTTGTCGAGCCAACCGTCCTGCGTGAGGAGGCCTTGACCCACTGCAAAAACTCTGCTCACTTGGTCCGTCGTCAAAAATCCTACTTTGGATGAATAATTCATTCTGACGGAAGCGTCAATGCACTCGAGCAGACAACGCGAAAGCCTTCGAAGGCACGGAGGGTGAGCATGACCTTCGTCGGTGAGATTTAGCTCTGACTCGAGCGCAGAGAGTAGCGTGTTCAAGATCTTCTGCAATCGTGTGGAGCAATCGCCATGCCTCCGGGCGACAAAGCAATCAATGCTTTCATAAATGGACTTCTTGAAAGCCTTGCAAGCATACAACCGAACGTCCAAGCATTTGGATGTCAGGAGCCCTAAGAGCGTTGACATAGCTTTTTCGTGGTCCTCGTCTGACGACGTTGTATCCCAGACTCGTGGTACGAGCTCACGGCAAAGAATCTCTCCGTTTGTGATCGCTAGCTCGGATGCCCCTGCTGCACTTAAGATAGGCCTCTCCAACGACATATTGAACTGCTGCCACGTGCTTTCCCTCTCCTGGTTCCAAGGGGCGTCATATGCATGCGCTGCTTCCAGTATTTCCAAAACAACTGAAGTGCAAAGGGGTGGCCATGGCTGTTGCTGCATGCCAGCTTTCGTGACATTCGAAAAGTACAGCAACAACCCCGACTCTTGAAGGGCAGCGATTGCTCCCTGATATCTGGCGCACAAATGTTTGATGCCCAAAAGTCCCCCGTGGACAGCATTCCAGTCTCTCTCCGCGATCGCATCAACGACGAGCCAGTGACAATCATCCAGTATTGAGCCTACTGAGGAGGCGCACTGACCTTGCGAGCCGGAACATAAGTTGGAGAGTGCCCTAGAGGCAGCCGACCGGAGAGCAAGATGCCGTGCTCGCAAGCTCTTGTAGACAAGTGGGATGAAAGGCTCGGTCAATTCTCTTGACTCTATTCCCGAGCTTGACATCGGCTGAATTCTGGAAAGAAGCAAGAGAATTGGGAACGCAGGTGGTGTTGACATCCCGCTTGTAGATGTGGCAGTGTTGTCGGCCTCTGAAACCAAAACGGCAGTCAAGAAAGTGGGCAGGAGGGGATAGCTCTTAAAGAGCTCCGCTGCTGTGATAGCATTGGAGCTTGTTGTATTTACAACTTTGGCATTCTTGTCGGCATCGACTGTGCGCAACATTGAAGCAGCAAAAACCATGGTGCTGGAGTTTCTGACTGCCCATGAGCTGTCGTAGTAACCGATGATACCCCAGATAAAGGCAGACCCGATGATGGGACCAACTTCTCTGGCCAAGGGTGCGTCAAGAATAATTAGTCGAAGAACGTTCAGTGCGTGCACTCTGCGTCGGATCTGGGAATAACGAGTTAGTTTCAAATTTCCTTCCTGTGAGCGACAAGAAGAACAAACTCCTACATGTACCTCGAAGTCATCGTTGCTCGTCCCATCTTTCATTGCTTCAGGCTCCATCTCTGAAGCAAATGACAAACGAATTGCCTGAGGCAACTTGAGCTTGTCAAAACAATGTTCCAAATCTTTCCTTGGAGGTATAGTAAGTTGGACAAGTTTCGCCAGAATAAATGGACAAAGCCTGTGCGGATCGACATTAGACGAAACTTCGGATCTCATGATTGCCAGAAATCCCAGGGCATAGCCTGTACTACGCCTAAGGGTAGAATCTCGAACTCTTTCAGCGGATGATATCTCATCCAGAAGCCGATTTGCCCACAGAGAAGGAAGCCTTCCGACATGGATATCGCTTGAATTGAAGCAATACTCTGCGATCTGCTGCAAAGCTCTCGAGGCTGCAAACGCAGCACCCGCATGCTTCAATGAGATCAAGGTGCTGATCAAAAGCCCACCAGCTTGCTTGAGAATCGAATCCGAAGGATGCCATGCTATACTACTAGTGAGCAATGTCGCTAGAGCCTCACAGGTTTCCTTCGTGAGCAACCAAGATCCCATCTGACGGTGGAAGTGCACTCATTAGCAAACGAACATCCCTACGCTTTTGCCATCTGCTCCACGCAAACTTACGACAATGCGCTGAATCGCTATTCGCCGTTCGTGCTCTTCTTTCTCTGTTGGATTCACCAAAGAAAATGTGCCATTTGCGCCAATAGCGCCGGTGTTGACGTTCAAGGGAGTGCCGTCACTGTAATCGTCGGTGGTTTCAGTGATTATGTCTTCATCCATCCCTTCCATCACAGCGCCTTCCTTCAAGTCGGCGACAACGTTCAACGAAACCTGTATAGCTTGACAGAACAATTGAGCCATTCGTTCGAAAAGATCGGGGTGTTCAGGATTGGAGTCTTCCGAGGCATTGTCTGATGATGCATTCGTCACTTGTGAGATTATGAGCTGCAACGAATGAATCAGTCCGTGAGCCAGCGGCAATCTTGTCGCATGACGTGAAGACTCAGGGTCGATCTTCCCAGACAGTAGACTTGCAAGTTGGACTTTCATGGCTGACAGTCGAGTTTCAAGGAGATCAACGATGTCCTTCAAATAAGCCCACTTTCCAGTTTCGTCAAGCGAAAAATAGAGAAAAGCTAGGACTCGAGCACCCGTATCCGATTCGCGCTGACGCGGCGAGGAAGCGAGGAAGACAGCTCGAGCCATCATACCCGACCGAATTTCCGCTGATGTGAATTCGACTGGGAGCCTCATGCAATTTGACTCTCCAACAAGAACTAGCCTAAAGAGAAGGCGATACGCAGCTGAACGTGTCCCATCCCACTGGGAGTGCATCAAGGAAAAGATTGTCGCCAAGGATTCTCGGCTTAACAGGGCATCCAAGATCTGGTTTGCAGCTTCCGTCTCACTGGCCCGCCACTTCCGCTCGTATATTGCGGCATTCTTTGTGGCAAACCTTGGTTCCCTCGCCGCGAAATCTGTAATGTGCTCAAGTAGTTCAATCGCGAAACTTTCTTTCTCGCAGATAGAACCAGGATAAGCTGTTTGCCCCATAGCCACTTCGAAAACGAGAAAGTCCCGAGCAAAGGAAAGAAACCGTGGTTCCGAAATCATGCCGTTCTCAGGTGAGTTGTCATCTTCCTTCTGCTTCGCGAGTGACGCCGACTCTTCATTAGCGATACGATCCAAAGAAACTATCAAGCACTGCATCAAGCTTGACATGTACTCCTTCCCATCACTGCTCGTTGCATACGGAAAGGACTCTTTCCAAAGCTCGATCTCTTGCTCAATTGTTGATATGGCATTCATCCCACGAGCATTGACCACGGCGCGAATTGTTTGAAAAGCGACCAACCTGATTGCAGAGTAGGAATGCTTCAAAGCAGATCTAAATTTTTCCATAGTCATATTTGCTTGAATGATCTCATTCAGACTTGCACTCTCTGGTGAATTGTCAACAAGTTTTTCCATATGAGCATGCCTAATGACCTTTAGAAAGAAAGGGAGGGTGATAACCCGTCATAAACAAAGAAATCAGACACCGCTTCAATCTGCCACCTTGGTGGGGGTCCTTTAGAAGCTGCTTACCTCAAGGGTGGCCCACAATTCTCGATCAGGTGCAGCAAGAATGACACTTCCCGACGAGCTTCCAGATTCTGATATTGCTGTGCTGTGTATGGTTCTCAAAAGACAGGCAAACGTTGACGACGCTTCTTGGCGTCTCTTTCTCCCTCCAACCATGGCAACCACTCTGGGCAGACAAAACGATGCCACATGTTTGCGACGAGATGCAGTTTCCGAAAGCAACGCTGATGCCAAATTGGGAACCCACACATCCCACCACTTGGGGAGCACTCGTTGAATCAAATCTGACGAGAAATCCTTGATGCCTCCAGGCTTTTTCTTCTCACTCACTTTTGGATCGCCCCCCTTGTTGTCGTCGTCACCGCTGGCCAACCCCCCTGCTGCTGTGTCCAACAACAACATGTCCAAAAGCAAATCGGAGAGTATCTTTTCCCATAAATCCGCAATCACCCCCGCGCTGTGGCTGTTCCGATCTCCAATGCCGCCCAAGAGCGCTTCCATCAGTTTCCCTTTCCCACCAAATTCAAGGATTTTCCGTGCACCAACGATTGGCAGCAATGTTTCCAACGCCTTGTACCGTCCTCTTCGATTCGATGGCTGTGCCAGCAGTCGCATGACTAGTTTCGTCATGTTGGCGGCATCTTCCATGACAATACTGTCTGCTGCTGATGTGGTCTCGAGTGTTGTTATCTGTTGTTGTCCCAACTCTTGCATCAATGCAATCAGTTTTTGAAACAGGGATTGTATGGCACTGCCTAATCTCCGATTGGGTGGGTTCTCCCATGCCGCCAAGACCATTTCGAGGGTTCCTTCGGTCATGTCTTGAATGGCTTCCAGCTCTGACGTTGTCACTGGTGTGGTTGCGGTTGTTGCAATACAAAGAGTATAACATCGACTGATTAATGTGTGAATGCCCTTGAGAGCTACCAGACGTACTCCTGGGTCTGAATGATGGGCCAGCCGTTGAAAGTACTGCATGAAACACGGTGACGTGTGCAACATGACCTTGATTGGTGCCGTCGCGGCGAGCCCCTGAATCATGGCAATGGTGGTCATATCGGACAGTTGTTGGGCCACGAGATTGTCCACGAGTTGCGCTAGGTCCTCGTCTTGGACCTGTTTTCTTTTTCTCAGCAGCAACACTACACGACTGTACGCCATGCCCAAGTTGCTGAGGGAATCGACGGGCACCATGCGACAGGTCATGATTTGATGGAGAAAGGATTCACAGAATTCGAGCATGTCATCATCATTGTCATGCAATATTATGAGCGAGGGTGGTGCATCCGCCAGAACAGTTTTCAAAATGCCCGCCCATTGAATGGCTTGTTGAATGGACCGTGTGACCTCTTGCTCGACAAAGAAAACGTTTTCGTCGTCCTCCTTTGTTGTCGGAGAGAGTGTCGTTTCGAGGATTGGTAGAATCTGCTGCTTGGCATAGTGATGAAGAAACGCAAAGAGTTGATTGGCCAGTGGCTTGTTGTGGCTCGTCAGAATAAGAAGATCGTGTGTGACCTTGTAGTTGAGAGCTTCATGAAGTGAATGCAGTGGCTGTTGCCAGTGGTTGTTGGATG